GGATGTTCAATATCAATTCCAATGCATATACAATACTCATTAAAAGCATGAGATGTGAATTCACCAATATTATCCAAACGAATATTCTTAATTGGATAGTCAGGAAAATGAGCTCTTAATCTAATTAGTTGAGCTAATAATCTCGCAAACACCTGGTTGTGACTTGATAATAAACAAACATGTGATCATCTTGTTGATGCATCAATTAAAATCATAAAATATCTAAATGGTCCACATGAGGGGTGTATTGGTCCACAAATATCACCTTGTATCTATTATAAAAATAAGATAGAATCATTCCCAATTTTCACTGGTGATGGTCTAATTTTTAACTTCCCTTAAGAACAAGCGATACAAGAGAAAATTTTTTTTATTGAAGAATCTCCTGGCTCTTCAATAGGTATCCGCATGAATTTTCAATTATTTTTTTACATAGACCCAAGGTAACCCAATCGGTCATGTCAAACCTCAAATTTATTTTGATGTGCAAACTTCTGGGTTTTTCTTTTGGTAGTAGGAGACAAACAAACAAGAAAGAAAAAAAAAACTAAGTTCTCAAGAAAGACACATGATCTCTATCATTAGAAGAGCATTCACCAAAATAGATGGAGGTTCTTCAAGCACAATCAAATGCCTATTTGTTGTGGGGCCCTTCTTGGCAAGAATATCAGCACACTTATTCCCTTCCCGCAAGGTGTGCATAAACTCCACTTTCCAGTCTTCTTTCATAAAATCTTTTATGGATTCAATAAGTGTAGCAAATGCGTGAGATAGGATGGCCGGTTGCTTGCTCAATTGACGTGCATGCAAAGAATCCGAGACACACACCACATCCTTATAGTGCAATTCCCAAGCCAAGTTCAATCCATGGAGTATGGCAGTTAATTCAGCATGAGGGTGTTAGAGTGGCCAATGTTCCCATAGAACCCTCTAACTCAATAACCATGAGAATCACAAATGAGTCTACCAAATCCAGCTGGCCCAGGATTTCCCCAACAGCTGCCATCAACATGTAGTGTGACTTGGTTTCTAGCTGCCTGAATACTGGTAACCCATCTACTAGTAGGAGTAGTAGCATGATTGGTTTGTAACCTAGAAGCCCCAAACACTTTACATACCCCTTCCCACAACTAGGAAATTCTATTAATGATCATCATCGGGGAAACTCTATCATTCTAAAATACTGTTTCATTTCTCGTTTTCCAGATTTCCTAAAGGGCAATGGGAACAAGACCCCTTGAACATGGAATCTGGTGACGTACCCATTCTAGAATTGTAGCATCAGTGCAACTTGGGTTAGCCATGGTAGTAGAAAGCAACCTCCAAACTCTACTGACCTCACTACACCTCCAAAATATGTGAGTCATGTCTTTTGTATCAGCCCCACACTGTGGACAAGTAGCATTAGAACTAATATGTCGTCTTCTCAAGAAAGCACGGGTAGGAAGAGCCTGATGCCCCACCTGCCACAAGAAGAATTTTACATTCTCTAGGAGATCTAATTTCCAAATCCAGGCCCATGATTCGCCACTGCTAAAGGTATAACGCTTTAGCAGCCAATCATAACCATATTTCGCATAGTAAGAACCTGATATATTCCCCCTCCAAACTACTAGATTAGGGGTAGTAGGGTGCAACACCACTCGCATCTGCATAATCCTATTTCGGACAAGTTGCGGGATGATTGTGGTAAGATGGTCCAAATTCCAACCATCATTAGTAACAAGATCCATCAAACCAAAAACTACTATTACCATTACCAAGTTGAAGGCAAAATCCATCATTGATATTAGCTTAAGCGTTCCTCAACAAGGTTACTAAGTAAGAACCTCGCCTCTCTAACATATTTTGCAGGTTCTCTCCTCCATATTTAGCTTTGACAAATTGCACCCACAACTTATTTGGGCGATGAAGGATGTCCCAGATAAGCTTACCAAGGAGGGCAATATTTTGCCAACGAACCACACGTACACCAAGACCCCCATCTTTCCTATTCTTGATAACCATATCCCACTTCACTAGGTTGATCTTTCTGTCCATATTACCACTCCAAATGAATTGGCGACCCAACAAGTCCAATTTATCGCACACTTGCTAAGGAATCCACTGCATTTGCATGGTGTAAGTTGGAATTGAAGTAACAACATAATTCACTAAAGTGACCCTTCCCACTCTATTTAAGAGCTTCCCTTTCCAGGCTGCAAGCCGACGCTAGACTTTCTCCACCAAGGGCCTAAACAACTCACTCGAAAATCTACCATGGACCATGTCATAACCCAAATATCTACCCAGGTTACTCATGAATTGAATATGGGTAATATTAGATATCTTGTTCCTTCTTCTTGGAGTGACACCTTTAGAGGAAAAGGCCTTAGATTTCACAAGACTAACCTTCAATCCTGAATCAGCATAAAACTGGTGTAGTACTTTGACCACTGCTCTCACATGTGAAGCTTTTACTTTAGTGAAAAGAAGAACATCATCTGCAAAGAACAAGTGGGATAACTTCGAGCCCACCCTACCAACCTGGATAGATTGCCAAGAGCCACTCTCCACTTCTTCCTTGATCATATATCCTAATTTTTCCATGCACAAAACAAACAGATATGGGGATAGAAGGTCTCCTTACCGGAGTCCCCTCTTAGGTAGGAATTGCTCGGAACACTTTCCGTTCCATAAAAGACAGAGAGATGTCGAGGTAATACCATGCAAGATGAGAGATATTATTTTGTCTGGGAAGCCAAAGTCACACAAAACCCTATGCAGGAATCTCCAATCCATTCTATCATAGGCTTTCTCTAGGTTAAGTTTGAAATAACATCCCCCCCTTTCTTTCTAGATGATTTCATGCTGTGTATGACTTCTTCAAGAATGATTGCATTATCGATAGTACTTTTACCCGAAATGAAATTACTCTGCATGGGACTGATCAAGTTATCTAACAAGGGTCTTAGTCAATTCACAAGGACTTTAAAGATTAATTTATAGAGAATGTTGCATAAACTAATAGGTCAAAAGTCCGTGAAATGCCTTGGGTTGTCATTTTTCTTAATAAGGATAATCAAAGTCCCCGTTACCTTAGGATCAAACGTGCCTGTAGCAAAAGCATTCCTCACAAACTTCCATATATCATCCCCAATAATGTTCTAGAAGAGCTTATAAAAGATGGGTTGGAAACCGTCAGGGCCTAGAGCCTTATACGATTTCATACCTATAAGCGCTTCATAAACCTCAACCTTAGTAACATTCAAGCTATTTGTATCTTCCTTAGTCAGGGTGGCCATAGGGGAAGAGAACGAGAACGAGTGAGTTTCCTCCACCTCACCAAATAAGCCTTGAAAAAATTTCACAACTTCTTGTTTAAGTATCTCATCGTCAGTGCACCACTTACCCGAGTGAAGACACAAGCCATGAATTTTATTATTTTTCCTCCTAACAACTGCTTGAGTATGAAAAAAAGTGGTGTTCTTGCTACTCAGTTTGATCCATTGTTCACGGGACTTTTGAAACCATAAGGTTTCTTCTTGAAAAAGGACTGGTTCATACTCCTTAGAAAGTTGTTGATACAAAAACTAGGCCCTGCTAGAATCTACCCGCTCCAAATATTTCTCCAACCCTCAAATACGAGCTTGAAGCTTTCTCTTCCGCTTGCCAATATGGTCAAACACTTCTTCGTTAAAAATCACATAATTCTTCTGGACATTCTTTAAAGAAGCGATGGCATCATTCGTAGCTCGGAACCAAGCATTCTTCACCACAGTATTATAATCGTTATGTGTACATAAGGCTGCCTCAAAATGAAAGGGTCTCTCTCCTCGGGCTTGTGGGAGCCCACCACATCTCAAGAGTAAAGGGTTATGATCAGAGTGAGCTTGAGGAAGAGTCTCCACTATGGCTTCTGGAAACTGCATGCGCGATGCAGTATCGCACATGGCTCAATCAAGACATTTATGCATCTGATGGCAGCATGGGCCTGTTTGATGCCAAGTGAAACGACCTCCAATATGATTCAAATCAATGAAGTGAAACTCGTCCATATTTTGCGCGAAGATTTTTGATCTAGCAATGTCAAAAGACCCTCCTCGTTGTTCAGAAGGGTGAAGGGTATCATTAAAATCACGAATAAGGATCCATGGATCTCCACAAAGACTACAAATGTGTGATAAATGGCCCCAAAGCTCTGCCCGTTCTTGATGTCTAGGGCTACCATACACACCAGAGCATAAGAAAGAGTGACTGCCATGAGAGATACTAAGAGTAATAACTTGATAATGTTCATCGCAGGAGGTGTAAGAATAGGCTATTGCTCCGGTGCCCTTTTATTTGAAGGGGTTGTGGTGCCCCTTGTTTGTAAACCAATGACAGATTGACATGTGGTTTTAATGAGGCGAGTCACCTTCTGAGCTGGAAAGGTGTGACTTGAAAGTTGAACGTTTCGTAAAGGGACAACAAGGTAATTTCACTGAAGGCTATCAACGTAAAATTGCCCTTCTCCGCTGAGGGCTTCGTATTGTGAATTTTACTGCCCCGTTATTGAACCCTATAATTGGCGTTTTCTGTCGAGGTTGTTGCGATTGTGATTTTTGAATGCGCACGAAGAGTCGTTGTTGTTCTTCGAAAGGCTAAGAAGGTAAAATTGTCCCTCTCTGCTTAGGGTTATGGATTGTCCATTTTGAAAGCACACGTATAGTCGTTCTGGTTTCATTTTCTGTTGTTGTTGTCCGGCGAAGGAAGTCGGTTTGTCAGGCGTAAAGCATCATCATCTCCGACAAAAGAATTTTCCAACGACTCATTTAACCGGAGTGGTTATCTGTTGGTGTCGGTCATACATGTAAGTGTTATGTTCCAAATACCTTTTGCATAGTCTTGTTGTGAAGAATAATATATTTTATATGGTTTGGTTTGTTTTTGTTGGTAATTTGAAATTGTGATTTAGGGTTTAGGCACTTTGATTGTGTTGTTTAGTAATATTTGTGTTCGATTTTTCACATACTATACAGATGGCAAATTTCAATGGTGAAGCATGTGTTAATTTAAGTGATGACGAAAAGTGTAGTTTTGATGAAATTGATATTTGTAAAGATAGTGATATTGAAAATTTTGAAGAAGAGAATGAAGATATTTCTAATGATAGTGAAAGTGAAAGTGATAAAGCAGAAAATGTAGGTTTGAGTGGACATGATGTTTATAAATTCTATTTTGGTTATGAAAAGTATCATGGTTTTTGTGTTAGAAAAGATGAAGTTGGTTATGACAAAAATCACAATATTGTAATGCGTCAATTTTTGTGCAACAAGGCGAGTTTGAGGGATAAGAAACACTTTATTAGAGATGATAGGAAAAAACAGCATAGACCTTTGACACAAACAAATTGTAAAGCAAAATTACGTGTTCGTTTAGATGAAAAAATTGGTAAATGGAAAGTGGTATCGTTTGAGGCAAGTCATAATCATATTAGATCTGAAGATAAATATGTTTCATTAATCCCTACATATCATGGGCTATCTACTGCAGAAAAAGCACAAGTTGATTCGTTGCATGCTCAGGGTAAAAGAACATGTCACATAATGGGTTTCATGATGGAGCAAAAGTGGGGCTGTGTTGGTTTAGGGTTTAACAAGAAAGATGTTTATAATCATATTTCACAGCAAAGACGATTTAAAGTTGAAGGGAGAGATGTAATTGCTGTAACAGCCCAGCAACCCGTGCCTTAAGTTATTTACAAGGAAAGGCAGATAACGATGCAGTGTTTTTTTCAAGATATGTTGTTGGTGAGGAAGGTGAACTGAAGCACCTATTTTGATCTGATGGTACCAGCAGATCTGATTTCCAATGTTTTGGAGATGTTGTTGCATTTGATAGCACATACAAGAAAAATAAGTACAATAAGCCTTTAGTAATTTTTTCTAGAAAAAATCATCATTCTCAGACTGTTATATTCGGTTGTAGTGTTGTTTCAAAGGAAACAGTTCAAACATACAAGTGGGTGTTAGAAATTTTTTTGGATGCAATGTGCAACAAAGAACCGAAGTCCATTGTGACAGATGGTGATGGAGCAATGAGGCAGGCAATAAAATAGGTGTTTCCAAATGCTACACATAGACTTTGTGGTTGGCATTTGCAAAAAAATGCCTGTCAAAATGTTAAGAATTCAAATTTCTTAGTTGACTTTAAAAGAGCAATGTATGGTAATTTTTCATCAAGTGAATTTGAAAATTTTTGGCAAGAGTTAGTTGTTAAGCATGAGCTTCAAGATAACAATTGGGTTAATGAACTTTATAGGAAGAGGGGCATGTGGGCTCATGCATATCTTCGTGATAAATTTTTTGCAGGAATAAGGACAATGTCATTATGTGAAAGGATGAATTCTTGTATCAAAACCTATATAAGGAGGAAAAATACAATTGTTGAGTTGTATAATTTTGAGCACTCCTTAAGGGATTTTAGGTACAATGAACTAGTTTCGGATTCTAATTCATTATATAATGAGCCTGTTCTGACATCTTCTTTTCGAAAAATTGAGCGACAGGCTGCTAATTTATTCACAAGAAATATTTTTAAACAAGTGACATCAGAAATTATAATTGCTAGATCTTTGAATGTCAGAAACAAATTTGAAGCTGAGGAGAAGGTTTGTTTTAAGGTGGACAAATTTTGTGAGCGTGACCGGGAACATAATGTTGGATATGATAAAGAAGAAGGTAAATTTTTTGGTGATTGCATGATGTATGAGTTTTGTTGCATTCCATGCTCGCACATAATATGTGTCATGCGATATGAACACATGGAGTGTTTTCCAAGTAGTTTCATTTGCAAAAGATGGTTGAAGGATGCTAAAAGTTCATATATGTCATCTTTTGAGTCAGAAGTTGAAGATACTGATATGATGGTTATGGCTCGTTTTGCATCATTGGTTGCATGTTGTAACAGTCTGTGCAGTATTGCAACAAAAAAATGTGAGAGTTTCAATTTTGTTAGAAATGAAGTCATCAAGTTAAAAGAACAACTTGATAAGAAGTTGCAATTAAATGAAAATTTTGAAAAAAATGATAGTTGTGATCCAAATGTGGTTAAGACAAAAGGTGCTCCAGTAACAAAAAAGCACAAAAAGAATAGTAGAAAATGTTCTAACTGCAAGAAATCTAGTCACTTTATAACAACATGCCCTGCTGTTGTTTCTCAGCAGCATGATGTAAGTGAAATTCATGGTGTTTGTAGATCAGAAAGTGTGGGTATTACAAGTGCACCATAAAGTAAAGTTATTTTGTTGGATTTGAATTATTTTCATTGATAAATTGATGTTAATCCCTATATTCATTTATATTGAAGTTCTTATAATTTGTTTCAGGGTAAACATCCAATGGTTAAGGCTTGTGAGGTTAAGAATGATAAAAGTTGTGAGGTTAATAGTTTGAATGAATTCCCACAACCGGTAATTTTGTCAATTCCTAATCCAATGGGCACGTACATGGTTAGTTTAAATTTTTTTGAGACGTAATTTGTGTGATTTTGAAATTTGAAAAAGTATATTATGATGAAGTGTATACATGGTATGCACGGTTTAATGTTAATATTTGAATGTGTCAGGCAAGATAGTATATAAGTCTTTCGCCGGTACGGTTTGACTCAAGTGGTGTTAACATTAAATATGATGAGGGTGGAGTAATGTCCATTCCAAATTTGACGCCCACATATATGGTTAGTTTGTATATAATGAAAATGATTTTGTTGTGTTGTATTTTTATTTGGTCTTTGTAATAAATTAATTATTATATTGGAATAATCATTTCAGAATTATGGTGTTCCTTCGAATTTTAATTCTGGAGGTGGTTGGTGTGAATTCCTACATAGTGTGATGAAAAATCAAGGTGGATGATGTAAGTTAATGTTATTTTTTGATTGAATTTGTTTTTGGCACAAATGAATTGTATGATACATGAATTATTACAACCCAGAAAACAGTAAGTTCATTTTGTGTGTGATGTTTAGGCATGAGTGGCTGATGCAAGAATTTTTGACTTTATTGTGAGAAGGATGAGTAAGTTGTTGGTAATGAGATCATTTTTTGATGCGATCATTATACTGCGTAATCGTATTTGAACAATTAATACTAAATACCGTTGTATATACACGTAAATTTGAATTTGATATTATTTTAATTTGAAATTATTATAATTTTTTTATTTAATTAGAAACAATTTGTACGAAAAGAAGAAATTAATTTGATAGGTAAATATGATAAAAAAAAGTGATACTAATGTTAAATAAAAAAATTGTTAAAAAACAAAGATATTATGTGAACTGTGTAAGATTGTAAATATAATTGTTATAAGTTAAAAAAAATTATAAATTATAATATTATTATTATGAATCCTATTGAAGGAAAAAATCGTGGTTGTCATACGTGTTTGTATAAATTATTGTGGTAGAGTTATTTTCAAATGATACTCAACAAAAATTTGACATAGTTATGAATTTATTTGGAGAAAACGATTTATATTTGATGTGACTATGCATCTTAAAATTGACTAGTTAAATAAGAAAAATTGTGTCTATAATAGGTGATAAATTAATGTAGTAATGTTGATGATAAAAAGGTAAGAATATGATTACAAATTATAAATGAAAAGTAGATAAAGTAATGTAATACAATATCTGTTATGTATAAAATTGTTACAAATAAAAGGATACATCATTAGGCTTTTTGTACATATAGTATTTTAGGATTATGAGTAAAATAAAACTGAAGGACATCATCGACGACAAAGTTGTTGGAGCAGACGAACTCATACCATCCTGCAACGATGTACCTTTGATGAGATGTTTGTTTCAAGTCACATAAATATTGATTTCCATGTTCATCCTGTAAGACTATTAATTTTTGTTCCACTGGCATAAAATCCCTAACAACATGAGATGGAATCGTCTACAAAAGCAACATGTTATCATTAGTGATGAAATATAACATTATATAATATTTTGGAACAAAGTACCATATAAGTTGTTAGTTTCCAAAAAACTTACCAATGTTTGAAATTTATTAAAATCTTCATCAGTAATTATTTTGACCCAACTTTTGTGAAGCATAAACTGTTGTAAATTTTCTTCATCTTTTCCAATATTGTAATTAATTTCGATCTTGGCTCCAGAGAAGACCCTTATTAAGAACTTATTATGTTCCAAATAATGAATCCAAACCACATGATTGTTTTGAAGATGATATCTTTGTACGAGTTGCAAAGCACCAGTCAACTCGAAATCAATATCGTCATATTGTAATTGCAAAGAAAATTCATTTCCTGCAGGATCAGTAATGACGACAATGCCAACATTCATCTTATCTTGCCAAAAAAAGTTAAAAGTTCCTCCAAGTGACAATATATCCTGCGTTAAATAAGTTAAAAAAATGTTAAACAAAAATATATTGATACACAGAAGTCCAGACATTTTGTGTATGGATTATTAGGTATTAAAATTAATACCTGTTCATTATTTATGTTGGTTCTAAATGTTTGAAAAAAGTTGGTCGAAAAGTGTACGTCGGTTGAGGAATGCATTTGAAATTGGGTAATCTATTTCATAAAAATTTTCATTAAATATACGTAGATGGAAATGATTATTTCCTATAAAGTGCATGAAAATAAGATGAACTGTGTTCATTTGATAGAAATTTGTCATATCAGTGCACCCAGTTGTAAAGCAATACTTGTTTTTCCTTTTACAAATTACGAGTTTGTTGACATTGTCATTCGAATCCCTGGCATAACATAAATCCGTAAGTAAACGATGACCCCAAAATTTCTGAAATTTCTTGGACATTTTCATTGAATCCTGCATATTATTGAAATAATGAAAGTTACATTACAAACAACAATAGTTGATAAATAATATTAGTCAACATGAAAAATAGAATGAAAATACCTTTCCTGGAGTTAATTTTCTAGCGAAAGTTTGAAACCAGTATTTGAACTTGTCGTTGTTTACCGATGTCGAAGAAGATACCATGTTTAACATCTGGAAAAAAAAAGTAGTACGAACTGAATGCTAAATAATACTGAAACTAAGACGTCATTTTAAAATTTTTAGAGTCAATACAGACATACCTGGATCAGAGAAGGATGGAGTGAATGTTGAATAAAACTGAAAATGAAGGCAATGGTGTTATGGTCGTCAGTTATGGAATGTGAAAAGTGTGTATTGTAGGTTACTTTAAATAAGTCCTTAAGGGGGGGTGTAAACCCATAAAGCGAAAAAGAATGTGTGTTTTACACAAGTGGATATTAATTATGTAATAAACAAATATATGAATATTTATATAAAAGTCATGACAGAGAAATCGTATTTACGTTTAGATTTACGAAGCACATAGAGATTTGTTGAGGGATATCAAATCTATTTATGTATGACTGCGATTACATGATTTCGATAAGCAATGATGATTTTAGAAGTATGCAGTAATAGTCATACACGTGTGCATTACGGAAGCAGGGTCAGTTTGAATAATACATGCTTTTTTAGTGTTTACTTCCGATTCATTATCCCAATGTTTGATACAAAGTCATTACAGTGTAATAATAATAATATTTTTAATTTAAATAATTAATTAATAAATTATTTAATAATAAAAAGATGATTAACAAATTATTGAATAAAAAATAATCACATTTTATAAAAAAAATTATTAAATGTAATACAATTGAAGTAATTATGTAAT